AAGAATATCAATCAGAGAGAGAGAGATAGAAATAGAAGAAGGGGAAACTGGAAAGTAGTATAAGTGGAGGTCTGTTTTCAGCAAGTCATTACATTACTTTCAACTGCAATTTGGCCTTTACAGAGGACCACTGACAATGAGGCAACAGGGACTTCCTCCTAATGCAAAAGGATTTTGCTTGGGATCATTTACTAAAGGCTGTCACATTATAGTGGAATTTTCACTTAGTCCAGTTCCAGTAAAGACTTACTAAGTAAACAAGTAAAAGGTTCAAATAACAGACGCACCATAGAAGCAATGGCAAGGTCTTGAATAATCAGGCCCCATATTATCTCACTGACATGGTATCACCCCATTAAAGCACTTCACTCTCAGACTGCAGGCTTCTTTGTGGTTCCTGAGTATTTGAAAGTAGAATGGGAGGCAGAGCCTTCAGCTTTCAGGCCCGTCTTCTGTGGAACCAGCTTCCAGTTAGGATTCAGGAGACGGACACCCTCCCCACTTTTAAGATTAGGCTTAAAACTTTCCTTTGTTATAAAGCTTATAGTTAAGGCTGGATCAAGATACCCTGAATCCTCCGCCCCCTCCCTTAGCCTGGTTCTGCTTTATCTTCCTTCCTGTTAAAAGGGAATTTTTCCTTTTCACTGTTGCTAAGGTGCTTGCTCATGGGGGGGAGGTCACATGATTGTTGGAGTTTTCTCTGTTTCCTTTGTATTGTTGTAGGGTCTTTACCTTACAATGTAAAATGCTTTGAGGTAACTGTTCCTGCAATTTGATGCAATATAAATAAAACTGAACTGAATTGAAACTGATTTAAATATTCACTAAACTAAATATGGATTTATTTTTTTTTTTTAAGTAGTCTAAGAATGAATGTCCTTCAAGAAGCCTGGAGAACCAACTCATCTTTCAATGTTGGCTGCTGTTTGTTCTGTTCTCTTCTCTCTGTCAAGATGACCCACATTGCCTCAGTGATGTTGATGTCCGGACTAATCCATGACTGATCGTGTCCCACTGTGTGTATTTTAATCCAGGTATACTTTTACTGCATTGACAGTGTGTTTAGGATCATTGTTAAGCTGTAATAGGCCAACTGGACACTTTCTACAAAGCATAGGTATTGTGGTACAGTGGATCAAAATCTGCTGTTACTTTTCTTCATTCATAATTCTATTGACTTTGACAACATCTCCGACACCACTGGTTGATATGCGGCCCCGAACCATAACAGAGCCTCTACCATGATTTGCAGATGGCTGTAGACACTTGGCCATCTGTAAAACACACAAATGGCCGAGTTGTGCCCCTTTCCCCAATTACCTTTAATACAATACTGACAGTTTTACCAAAAATTTCAAATTCAGATTCATCACTTCATGAGACCTGTTGTCACTAGTTTTAAGTCAAGTTCTTGCATAATTTTCCATTGAGAACATTTCAGAGGAGGCTTTGACAAATGGCACGTGGATCAGCTGAAGAGCTAGGTGCATCTCTCAGGTCCTGCGCCAGGTCTTTGCTGAGCTGTTTTGTATTTCATAAGGACATGACTTTCAGTTACTGTTCATCTACTGTAGACAGTCTTTTAGGCCTGATACCTCTTCTTTTCTCCCCCACTTGTCCAGTCAAATTGTGAGGATACACTGCACGCTGTGCAAAGATGTACCGAGTGTTCAGCCAATAGCTCTTTGGGAATCACCTTTTGTGACAGGCTAGTAGTAACAAAATGCCTAGACATGCAATGCAAGTTATCTGCTTAAGACTGCCTTTAAAATAAAATAAATAAAAAAATTACAAGAAGGTTTGGCTCCTTGAAAAGAAAATTGGAAAAATCTTTCTGCCATTCTGCTGAGGCATTAATGTGTAACCCTGCAAGTCAGAACTAGCCTGACACAGCGGCCTGAATGTGGCCTGTGTGCTTCGAAAGTCAGCAAAGGAAATTTATATTTACTCCTGGCGTGAGTCAGGCAGTTATGGATACACCAAGAATTGTTTTCAAAGCCAGAAACAGTGCACTTATGGAGTATTAGGAGTTCTGATAAGCTCTGGAAATGGCTTAAGTGGTTTTCAAGAGGAAATTGATGTTGCAAACCTGGGTTTTCCCACCCAGTATGCAAAAGAGTGGGGCAGCGTGCCTGGAGACAATAACACGATAAAAAATAATCTTCAATAGAAGATTTGATTCACTGACACTTGCGTGCCAAAGATTTGGAAGAAGATCTGTTTCAGTGTCAGTGCTTTCCAGGTGTGGTATAAAACAAAAATGCAGATGAATATACACAAATTTCTGTGTGACAAGCTAAGACAAGTCCAACTCGTACATAACATGTTCACTGGAAGGTAACCTGCAAACCGTGAGGGGGGGGGAGAAAAAAGGAGAAAAGGGGGTAAATTTGGATATTGGTGATAAAGGGAGTCACATGGATGGAAGTGAAGCAGTGTGCCCGGCCACTCCCTTGCTCCTAGCAAGGCCACATGAAAGGAAGGATGGATAAGGCAAACTGGCAGGAAACCAAGAAGTTGTAATAAACAGTCGCTCTCACACCTTTTGGCAAAGTGAGGCAAGCTGGTGGAAAAGAGATGAAGGCTTTGTGCCCAAGCATTGATGACTGTGTGCCAAAAACACCCACCTATGTCATTCCAAACACTTCACCCCCTCTCTGCTCTGCATTCCTACCCCCTGCTGTCCTAGACATAATTTCCTTCTATTTCAAACACACACACACACACACACACACACACACACACACACACACACACACACACTCTCTCTCTCCCTTCTTATCTTGCACTTGCACACATCCTTTTCATCATCCTTTTGTACTCTCTCTTACATACATACATACATACATACATACACACACTTTGACAGTGTAGCTCCTTGGACACACACACACACACACACACACACACACACACACACACACATTAATTTTCCTTTTAACCTTGGCCCATTTCTCTCTGTCACGCACACACTCTTCCTCAGACTTTCTCTCTCTCGCTCACTCTAAAAGCAAACTGTGACCTGCTGGCAGGCTGCAGCCAGTGTGTGTGTGTGTGGGGGGGGATAAGTTCTTATACTCACAAAGAGTTCCAGTAAGGTGGAGCACTCATAGTGCAGCAGATCGGCTAGAGCAGCGGCCCTTGCCGGCGCGGTTCTGCTCCCATTCGAGCCGTTTATGCCTCTGGTCGACCTCCCTGCCATTGAACCTCAACTTGAAGACGCGCTCACTTGTGGTAGCAGCAGAGCAGACCAGCCCCTAATATACTCCCGGTTACGCCTGCTTCATCCCGATATCATCGGATTCCCGGCTCATTTCAGCCTGCCCATCAGCTCCCACTCAGCGCTGCGTTAATTAGAGCCACAGAGTCAGTCTTGTCTGAGGTTTCCGTAAAACCACTTCGGTTTGTCCGACCTCCTCTGCTTACAGTTCGGTACTTGTATTACAGAGTTTAAGGCCAAATCTCCGCCCTTTCCCCGGGGAACTTGATGCCTGACTGGAGGAATTTAACTGGACAAGCGGGGGCGGAGGAGAGGAGTGAGGAGGAGCTCATCAACTTATTCATGAGCAGCTTATCCGATTTACTGGTAGTGACCGAGCCGAGATAGTCTAAATTTAAGTAGTGTGTGTGTGTGTGTTCCCCAATGATAACAAATAAGAGACCAAAAAAATCAACAGCTGAAACTAGAAGTTGCCATCATCGCTATGGAGACTGACCTCCTAACCACAGCGCTCGAGGACAGGAGCTCACTCCAAATTAGGTCACTTCCGGCTCGTCACATCATCAGGTGGAACTTTAATGATGTAATCACTTGTGTCTAACAGGAGGATTACCTAATTACGCAAGAAATATAGCGTCGTCTTTGTTAGCGCAGTCATAGAAAGCAAATCATATTTTTAAAGGAAAAACAAATCAGAGAAAATATTTTTTCCACAACCTAAATATTAAATTCTAAGAGCAAAAATAAGTGGAATAGTTTTCAGGAGAACTTCCACAGAAAGGGCAGGTCACAGCTAAAGATTTAAATGTGATCTGCCCTGGGATCTAACTTTCTATATAGAATGGACACTTTATCAGGTATGCCTTACTAATGCCGGATTGACACCGAAAATCATACCACGTTAAAAGTTTAAATCACCTTTTTCCCCCTCCATTCTAATGCTCTTCAGCAGGTTTTCTTGACCGTGCTAAAATGCCTAAATGGACTGGGTTGCTACCTTGTGATTGGCTGATTAGATAGTGGTGTTGAAACCTAGTTAAACAAGTGTACCTAACAAAGTGTGCATAGGCCTAACATTGACATTTTCTCAAACTGGTGCCTTGTTTTGCGAGGAATGTAACTACAGTTATTATTCTCCACAAGAAAATGAAATGAAAATGGACAGTCAAGTGGATTTTTAACTACTAAAAAGAAAATGATAACCAAATTATTTATACAGCACATTTAATGCAAGTAGTCAACAATGAACACTGAATGATAAACAATAAAAAGCGTATATACACTTTAAAAACGGAACTAAGAGAGAATTACAAAATAAGATAACCACTCTAACGTGATTAAAAAAAGGATACATTTTAGAATGATTTTAGGTGATTTGTGACAGTGCAAGGGAAGGTTTACAAGATGGTAGTGATACTTGCTATGATGTATGATTTCGAGACGGAGGCACTGACAAAAAGACAGGAGGCAGAGGTGAAGAGAGACAGCAGTTAGAAGATAAAGTTATAGAGCAAAGTCTGAAGTGGTTTGGACATGTGCAGAGGAGGGATAGTACATTGGACAAATGGTGCTGAAGATGGACCTAGCAGGCAAAGGAAAAGAAGATAATCCACAAAGGGCTGGTGTAATAGAGGAGCATGCCAGAAACAGAGTGACATGAAAGCAGATGATCCGCTGTGACGACCCCCAAAGAGAGCAGCTGGAAGAAGAAAAAGAAGCAGCTTATCTGTGTTGGTCAACTGTCATTTGTGGGTTAGTGGCGTCACAGTTGCAGTACCACTCCTGTCCTGCAGGTGGCAGTGCAGTCTAAACGGGAACGCTGAGCGACGGCTAATGACAGCAGCTAACCTTACAGCAATTTCCCTTGTTTTGTTTATTAAAGAAGGAAAATGGACAACTCTCTTGCCTCTTATATTCACAGGTACACCGTTATCGCTTTTTAATCGGGAGGCAGAGCTCTAGCTCCGGTTACAGGTATGAACTCTCTGGTTGGATACGGAGTGTCCTCCGACTCCGACAGCGATGGCGTTGCAGAGGATGTAAACAGTGGCAAAGCTGGGTGAGTAAAAATAAAAATGTATCGCAAACACCACTCGGCTAGCCTGGAATAATAATAACTTCTCTTCGTTCTGTTATTGTGTCGTTTTGAAGCTGTGGGAAAACTTGTGAAGAGGAAGCGCCTTTTAAAAAGACCCGCAACTTTTTGCTGGAGTCTGGTTCCGCTTCCAGTGAATCGGAGGCAGAGGACGAGGATCCAGAGCCCTCACCACCACCTACGTCGGCAGCCCGCCCTTCCAAACTGCCTACTCCTTCACTGGACTCCATCACCTCTAAAAAACTGCCCTCTCCAGCGCTAAATGCGTCATCTGACAGCAGCGTGTTTGCCAACCCATTTAAGGCTCAAGCAGACCAGAAGCTCAGCGCCCTGCAGAAGCACGTCCCCCTCACCATGCAGGCCAAACCCTCCCAGATAGGAGGTAAAAGGATATGCATGTCCTACAGGAAAGATGGAAGGTGCAGGTTTGGGATCAAATGTAAATTTGCTCATGACAGTGACCTCCAGAAGCCAGTCATCTCCACTGACTGTCATCCACCTGAGAGTGAAGAGACACCAGAAACTGGAGGCGGTTCATCTGGCGGAAGGTCCCAGAGGGAAACAAAGGAGGAAGAGCCAGAAGGGCAGCATGTGAAGAAGAAGAGGGTCGGACTGAGTGACAGCTTGATTCCTCCTAAAAGAGCTATGAAGCAATATACGATGCAAAGGAACAGAGAGCGAGCCAATATGTCCTGACTCACTTCTAGTTACATTACGTCTTCCAGACACTTTGATTCAATACTACTTATATCCCACATACAGAGTAGGAGCCTGCCTAATAAAATTTAAACACTCTGATGCAAAGAGTTGGGGTTTGAACCACCAACCACACTGCTAATGGCTCTAACAACTGGACTGCTGCTCCTGTTGAAAAGAGGAAACTGGAGGGCTTTCAGAGCACATTCAATAAAAAACACTTTGGATAAATGTTAAGATGTTTATTTACAACTTTTAAGTGGACTGTTTGCTCTAACACAAATCTAATGTGAGAGATCAGAGAGATGCCGCTGACACATAAAGTTTCTACATAGCTTTGCTTATCAAATTACATTAAACAAATCTTATTGACAAATCAGTGCTTGCTGTTGATAGGCTTACATTTGAGTCGCAGTGTTCAAGGGTACATTTCAGCTCCTAAAAGTCTTGTAGAGTTAAACTATAGGGGTTATCATTTCCTTCAAAGCTGCACTAATGTCATTAAAAAAAGAGACAAAATCTGGAATATGCACAATCTGTAAATTTTGGTGTCTTTTCCAAGTTTTGAAATGTCTTTTTTTGTAGATTTAGCTGATTTCTAACCTTGTTAAATAAAAAGTGTCACAGGAAAGCTGGACAATAAATGAGTGTTTCCCCACACACACACACACACACACACACACACACACACTGAGGGAGTTTATAACTTTCTCATGTGTTTCATGATATAAATTAAACCGATTTATTCCAGTAGGAACTTTGATGCTGCACATTACACATTAGATGTGCTGTATATTGCTAAGAGGTATGCTATGTTATTGCATAATAGCAACAGCTGTGCAACAAGACCTCATCAATATATACACACACACACACACACACACACACACACACACTTATAAGTGGCTAGTTACAGGACTGTTAGGTACAAAGGCAACAACATACACATACAAACGCATATCTTTCCCTGATACGAAGTCTAAAAATCTACCAAATGTGACGATGAGTGAGCATTACATAATATACCAGTGAGCCTACATTTACCTCAAACGTGGTGAAACAGTATGTCAGGTCACTGGTAACATAAACTGCCTCTAGATTACGTTCTGTTGGCATCCTTTTTGTTTTACATGAGGGTCTGCTGCATGTGTCTCCCAGTGCCATCAGCTAGGACCTCCCCCTGCCCGGCCTGCTCCCAGATTACACCATCCTCCCCCACCACTTCTGTCTGCTGAAGAGAGGTGGCTGAGGGAGAGGAGGAAGAGAGCACTGGATTGTCCAACATAAAGCTGTCCCCGCTGGTGGAGACGGGAACCTGGCTCTGGGTTTGCGAAGTGGACATTAGAGGAGGGCTCGGGGATGCTGTCTGCAGAGGCTGGAGCTGCTGAGAGGCTGCTAGAATGGGGATCTGCTGGATGTGGGTCTGGGACTGGCTGACAGGCTGGAAGGTCATCTGCAGGATTTGTGTCTGGCCCTGGCTCTGCTGCTGGGAAGTGTATGACTGAAGAGGCTGGAGCTGCGGTTGATGCTGGGTCACCACTGAGTTGGAATGGAGGGTCAGCTGTTGGATTTGGGGCTGCTGGGCAGTCTGCACAAACTGGACGGGCATCTGAAGCTGGAGCTGGGTCTGCTGCTGGTTCTCGGCCGGTGATGGGGGGTCGATAGGGGACAGAGCAATTGTCACAGGCACCTGCATGGTGTGGAGGCTCTGATCTTGTCCCAGCAAAACCACCTGGTGACTCACCTGCTGGGTCACATGACCCATCTGGGAGACCTGAGGCACATGCTGCCCATCCTGGCCCAGCTGGTCCACCTGGCCATCTTGCCCAACTTGGTTCGCATCCAAGCCAGTGACCTCTGCTTGCGCAGGATTTCCCGGGAGCTCCAAGAGAGAGGCAGGGGTTGTGATGAGAGCGCCGGCATTTGCTGCCAGCGCCTCAGCAATTAGCACCTCCGGGTGGCTCTTGGCCTTGTGTGCCACCACGCAGTCCTTCTTCTCAAACTTCTTTCCACAAATAGAGCAGGAGAACTGATAGGTAGCATCAGCATCGTGCTTCTTCATGTGCCAGTTGAGAGATGCCTTCTGGCGACAAGTGAAGCCACAGATCTCACACCTATTCACACCAGGAAGCAAGAAATTTAATGAACCACTGAGCTGAAAATAAACTGAGAAAACAAAACGTGTGAACAGAGAAGTACTGACTGTAGGGGCTTTTCTCCAGTGTGTATCATGCGGTGCACGGCCAGATTGTGGGAACTCTTGAAGGCGCGAGCACAAAACTCACAGATGTAGTCCCTCTGGTCTAGTTCCCAAAAAAAGACTCAATTACAGATGGATTATCCATGTAATTTCATTGATTAGAACTAAAAATAAGCACAGAAACTAATGCATTGTTTTATACCATCATGAGCAGACGTTTACATGCACTCATCATGGACATGAATATTCTGGTAATTTGAGCTTTTTAATGATTTTTCCTTGAACTGTTCTTTTTCCAGGGTGGAATGATTGTACAGCACACATCTTTAATTACTTTAAAAAAACAAGACTTGGGTGCACAAGTTTGAATTTATTTTGGATTTTCTCAAATTCACACAGGGTCAAATATATACATACACCCTGACTAACATTTTGTTAAATGTCCCTTAACAAGTTAAACACATTTGGTAGCCACCAACAAGCCTAATAGCTGGTTATTTGATATATTTCTTAGAAGAATTAGCAGAGGTCATTTAAATAGCTGGTTTCCTGGTACAGACCCAGTTTAGTCCACAAATATTTGGGTTAAAGTTGGGGCTTAGAGAAGACCATTCCAGAAGCTTAATGTTAGCCTGCTTTATCGATCCCAAAACCAGTTTTGATGTGGGTTTCACATCATTGTCCTGTTGGAACACCCAACTGTGTCCAAGTTTCATCTGTTTAGCTGATGACTTAAAGTGGAAGAATGTGGCAGTAGTCCTCCTTCATTATTACATCCACTTTGTGCAACGTACCAGTACCACTGACAGCAAAACAGCCACAGAGCATGCTGCTACCACCACCATGCTTGACAGTTGGTACAGTATTCTCAGGTTTCAAAGCCTCAACTTCACTCCTCCAAATGTCTAACTATAAAACATTTCTCCTGAAGCCATTTGGCTTGCCCATGTAGGCAGCTGCAAATTTCAGCCACATTTCAAGGTGTCAAATTTGGAGCAGGGGCTGCTTCTTTTCTTGGTCAGCGGCACCCTCTTGCCAGCATAAAAAGTATATCTGTTGTACTCAATTAGAATAACCAATGAAACGATAATAGGCCTTGGACTTGTCAAGTTGAAATACACTGTAGAACCTTCAGCAACACTTATTAAAAGATTTGAGTGTTGTGATGGCATCAGCCACACAGGGGTAAATTAGTCCATTTTTCACTCGATTAGTTTTCTTTGCAGTTTTCTTCATTAATATAATTCATTAATCATTTGGTTAAACCTAACACTGGTATTATGAGGCGCGCACATAGTAACATTGTGTGGTTTTTCTAAAATGTTTTGTTATATTAATTATGTTTCTCTTTCTTTGAGTTACCTGGGTTTGGGCGGTGGCTGTTTCCTGTCTGGGCAAAAGGCGTGGCTGAGGACTCTGGGGACAAAATGCCTGCTCAGCAGGACCAACCATGGGCTTACCAGGAGCAGGGGTGTTTTAGGTTTAGTTAGGTTATTCTGTGCTTAGTTAATATTAGTGTGTGCTTTTGTTTCCCCCCCCTATTGTGTTCAAATGGTTTGGCCAAATCATTATAAAAGCTACCCTCATGTGTCTTTGTAATTAGGTCAGTTTGTGAGTCAAGTTGTGTCTCACTTTGTTTTGTTTAAGTTTCTGGAAATTACTTTTTGTAGAGTTATATTTAGTTGACCTGTTTTATGGGCCTGCTAAGTATGGTTTTGAATTTTGTTAATTTTGGACTTTTTGAGGGTTAAAATAAAGAAAACCCTTTTTGAAGATTTTTTTTGCCTGTGTCCTCTTTGCTTTGGCTGCTTGGTCCCTCACAGTGTATGCTTATATTTGAGCCTGTTTTTTAACCTGTGTGGATCAAAGAAAATCCAAAATAAAGTCAAACTTTCGCAGTCAGTTTTTGTTTTTTTAAAGTCATTAAAGTTGTATGCTGTACAATCACTCCACCCTGGAAAAAAATAGAAAAAAGTTCAAAGAAATCATCAAAAGCCCAAAATTATAATGACACCCGTGCCCATGATAAGTGGATGTAAACCTCTGAAAACAAATGTACATGCGTACCTGTGTGGTGCTTTGCATGACGCAGCAGCTGCTTCTGTAGGCGGAAAAGCCTCCCACAAGAAGGATGAGGACAAACATACTTCTTCTTGAGTAAGTGCTGGTACTTTATATGGTGCTGGAGTTTAAAGCAAAGAACAGATTAGTTACTGCTGCTTTGTGTTTGTGTGTGTGCGTGTGTGTGTGTGTGTGTGGCAAACCTGTAAGTAGCGAGGATGAGCCAGCACTGTCCCACATCCTTCCATTTCGCAGCGCACATACTGAACTGGGGGCTTCTTCCTGTGTGAGCGAAGCCAGTTACTATCTTATACTTAACCATCTATGTCTATACAAAGTTCATGACTGATTTCAGATAACGAAGCACCAACACAGACATCAACTTCACCTTCTCTTTGGCAGCCGTGGGGTTTTGTCGTCTTTTTTCCGCCGACCTCTCCTAACACAGCCAAGACAAAAAAATGTAAAAAATGACATAATTGTGTATACCGGGAAATCAAAGCCATGCTCTGCTATATGTGAACACAAAGCCATTGTGAAGTGAGGTACGTTTAAATAAGCACATGTTAAATTTAGAAGGAGGAGCAGCTGGTTAGTATTTTAAAACAGGCAGACTGAATGACTCCGTGTCTTATTGATGACATTTCCAATCACATATGTTTTCGTTCTATATTGAGTACACAATGCAGCTGCACTTACAAAGCATGTATTGTTTGCTGATGCAGTATGCATACAAATGGACCACACTACTTGAAAATCACTGCACTTTGTATTTTGACCCTTGTCATCACTCAGGCTGTAGTGCAACAAAGCAAACAAAAAAACAAAGTCTGAAATTTTTAAATGGTTGCATCAGTACTGAAAGCATTTGACTATGCTTTCTTGTGCACTGCGCCAAGCACTGTGGGTCAAAAGGGCTTGAGAAGCATGTTTACCCTTCTTTCAGAATGTAAACAGATGCTCTCCCTGTGTGCTAAGTCATTACTTTTTGCCTACTCTCTGCCATAGTTTGTTTTGATCCTGTCTCTCTATACTCCCCCTCCTCAGTAGCAGCAGATGGCTGCCTCTGCCTGAGCCTGGTTCTGCTGGAAGTTTCCTTCTGTTAAATGGGAGTTTTTTCTTCCCAGTGTTGCCAAGTGCTTGCTCATAGGAATTTGCCTGATCTGATTGTTGGGGGTTTCTCTCCAATATTGTCACTGGTATTGTTGGCATACCATATTTCTACACTATGTACCTAATCCTTTTTCTGGGATACTAAATGCTGCAGCTTGCCTTAGTCCAGACCTTTGAATCCATCCACTTGAATGAGTTTACAGATTCATCTAGCATCAGATCAATGAACACTGCAGGAGGACTTAAAAAAAAATAAA